TCCCAAGTCTAATTGGCCTTTCTTTTTCACACATCTCACAAAAACACTCTGTATATTACATTTCGCTACTAAATTTTAATTTTAAATTAGCCGTCTGTCAGCAGTATTTAAAGCAACCAAACAACTTTAATAGCCGTAATAGGAATAATAATGTAACGAAAATGTCCTTTATTCTACTTTCCGTCACCCTTTTCCGTCACTTTTATTCGAAAACCCCACACTATTTAAAATTGCCGCCATCTTGCCACGTGCACTAACGCCTCTCCAGTTGGCAACCCTGTGCGTTCCGCGAAAAACGAAACTGTCAACTAGTCCGCGAAATGTCGCAATTTCCGGAAAATTCGACCGGAAAACGCGTCGCGACTGCGGGAAAATGAAAAGTGATGGTCGTGAACGAGTTTTCCGCAAGAAAATTCCGCGATTTTGACAATCCCGGGTCGTGCTCGAGCAGTCACAGGAGGCGGCGTTGCGGTAAGCCGAAACAGGTAAAGTGAAAATCTCCGTGTTTTTCTTTGCGAAAAACGTCCGAAAAGTGCGTTTTTCTTTCTTCGTGTGAAGTTTCGGCTTAATTTGCGGTGGCCAGTTTTCGGTGTGACGTCATCAAGTGTGTCCACGAGCTGGACGGTCGTTCAAGGGTGCCCCAAATTTTTATGTTGAGAAAAGGGCTTTGAACGTTTAATCAGAGAACGTAGAGAAGCGTCATGGTTTAAATTAATTTATGTTGGCAACAGTGTTTGTTTCCAACTAGGAATAAAATTAACTACAATAGAAAAAGTGTCATAATATTTTTAACGACGCGTTTTACTTTCGACAAATTGACACTAGATTTACCACAATATTACAAGCTGCTTACTTTAATTCAGGTCACACGAATTACAGTTCGTCGTCTGAGAACTTGTTTGATCTACAGACCAGAGCACACTCAGGCGAATGTCGACTCTAAGCGTTCGGAAACGATTTGATTTATAAGTCATGAATCGTGATCTGATACACATCCCAACCGGTTTCGACCATAATTTCTTGCTGTGTCAACTTTCGAATTTTCAGTTTTTCGAAATTTTAGATTGGGGACTTTTCAGTTTACTGTTATTTATTATTCAATTTTTGGATTTTACAATTTCTCGGTTTTCAGTTTTCAATTTTACGATTTTTAAATATTTAGATTTTTAAATTTTTGACTTTTATAAACTCTTTGTTTGTCGATTTTTCAATTGACTGATTTTTCAGGTTTTTTGGTTTTTCAAATTTCTATTTTTTTAGGTTTCGATTTTTCAACTTCATTTTTAATTTCTTAATTTTTCAATTTTTTAATTTTGGGATTTTTCAGTTTTTCGAATCGTCAGTTTTTCTTTCATTTTTCGGTTTTTCAATATTTCAGTTTTGGGATTTTTCAATATTCCTGTTCTTCAACTTTTCCATTTTTGACTTCTGGATTTTTCGATTTGTCGACTTTTTACTTTTACGATTTTTAAATTTTAGATTACTCAATTTTTTGGTGTTTAATTTTTCAATATTTAAAATTTTAGATTTTTCGATTTCTCGATTTTTCATTTCGGCTCTTCCATATTTCAATTTTTCAAATGTTTCGATTTTTCGACTTCCCGCTTTTAGATTTTCTGCTTTCCGATTGTCGTTTTTTCCATTTCTCGATTTTTCATTTCAGTTCTTCGATATTTCAGTTTTTCAAGTTTTCGAATTTTTCAAATGTTTTTATTTCTTGATCTATCGATTTTTCGACTTCGCTGTTTTAGATTTTCTGTTTTTCAACTACCGTTTTTAAAATTTTCGATTTTTCAAATTTTCAAATTTGACATTAAATTTATAAACTGTCAATTTTTCGATTTTTCAATTAATCGATGTTTTGATTTTCCAATTTATTGACTTTCGAGGGTTTCGATATTCCTGTTCTTCAATTTTTCGATTTTTCAGGTTTTTGATTTTTCATTTTTTAGTTTTTCGACTTCACTTTTTGGATATTTCAGTTTTCAGATTTTTCAGGTTTTCCATTTTTCAGTTTTTCGATATTTCAGTTTTGGGATTTTTCAATATTTCGATTCTTCGACTTTTTGATTTTTGGCTTCTGGAGTTTTCGATGTGTCGATTTTTTTACTTTTTCGATTTTTCAATTTTTCGATTACTTAATCTTTCGATTTTTCGACTTCCCGGTTTTAGATTTTTTGTTTTCAATTGTCGTTTTAAATTTTTCGGTTTTTCAATGTTTTTAGTTTTTCTTTCATTTTTCAGTTTTTCGATATTTCAGTTTTGGAATTTTTCAATATTTCGATTCTTCAACTTTTCGATTTTTGACTCCTGGATTTTTCGATGTGTCGATTTTTTTACTTTTTCGATTTTTCAATTTTTCGATTTTTAAATTTTATCGGCAAATTGAGAAATCGAAAAGTCGAAAATTGCAAGTCGAATAATAGAAAAAACGAAAACGCGGAAATTCGAAAACTTGAATTGAAAAACTGAAAAATCGAAACACTGAAAATTCAAAAAATTGAGAAATGGGAAACTCAAAAAATCGATTCGATTTTTGACTCCTGGATTTGTCATTTCAGTTCTTCGATATTTGAATTTTTCAATTTTTCGACTTCCCGGTTTTAGATTTTCTGTTTTTCAATTGTCATTTTGTCAAATTTTCGATTTTTTAATTTTTCAAATTTGTCTTTCATAAACTCAATTTTTTGATTTTTTAATCAATCTATGTTTTGATTTTCCCATTTCTTGATCCTCGAGTGTTTCGATTTTCCTGTTCTTTAGTTCTTTAATTTTTTGATTTTTCAGGTTTTTGATTTTTCAATTTTTCGATTTTTTAAGTTTTCTATTTTTCCACTTCACTTTTTTGATTTTTCGATTTTTCAGTTTTTAGATATTTCAGTCTTAGGATTTTTCAATATTTCAGTTCTTCGGCTTTTGTATTTTTGACTTCCGGATTTTTTTATGTGTCTACCTTTTTAATTTTTCGATTTTTCAATTTTTGGATTTTTAAGTTTTAGATTTTTCAATCTTTTGATTTTTTAATTTTTCAATATTTCTTAATCTTTCGATTTTTCGACTTCCTGGTTTTAGATGTTCTGTTTTTCAATTTTTCGATTTGTTAATTTTTCATTCCCGATTTATCGAGATTTGATTTTCAGGTTTTCGATTTATCAGTTTTTCAATTTGTTATTTTGGCCTATTTCGGTTTCTCAGTTTTTTCAGTTTACCATTTTTTCGTTTTTTGATTTTTCTGCTTTTCCAATTTTTCAACTTTTTACTTTTTGTTTGTCGATTTCTCTAATTTTCGATTTTTCGACTTCATCACTTTTCGATTTCTCGTTCTTTTGATCTTTCAATCTTTCAATTTTTCAATTTTTCGAATTTTTAAGTTTTGTGATTTCTCGATTTATCGAGATTTGGATTTTTCGATATTTTGATTGTCAATTCGTCAATTGTAAATTGTTCAATTTTTAACTTTTCGAATTTTCGATTTTGGCCTATTTCGGTTTCTCAATTTCTCGACTTTTCGACTCCACGATTTCTTGATCTTTTGATTTTTCGATTTCTCGGTTTTTCGATGTTTCGATTTTTCAGTTTTTCGATATTTTAGTTTTGGAATTTTTCAATATTTCGATTCTTCGACTTTTCGATTTTTGGCTCCTGGATTTTTCGATGTGTCGATTTTTTTACTTTTTCGATTTTTCAATTTTTCGATTTTTAAATTTTATCGGCAAATTGAGAAATCGAAAAGTCGAAAACTGCAAGTCGATTAATTGAAAATTTGAAAAATTGAAAAATGGAAAAACGATAACACGAAAATTCGAAATATTTAATTGAAAAACTGAAAAATCGAACCACTGAAAAGTAAAAAAATTGAGAAATGGGATAGTAAAAAAATCGATTAATTGAGAAATTAGGAAATCGAAAAAATGAAGATTTAGAAACGTGATAAACTGAAAAATTGAAAAATCCAGAAATACAAAAGTTGTCAAAATTAAAATATGTATTGAAAAGTTGAGAAATCGAAAACTTGAAAAATCGAGAAATCTAAAAATCCAATAATTTGAAAAATTTTAAAAGTGGAAAAACCGGATCGTCAAAAAATCAAAACATTAAAAAAGTGTAAAAACGAAAAATTGGAACATCAAAAACCTGAAAAATCAAAAATTTAAAAATCCGCAACATGTTTCGATTTTTCAGTTATCCGATTTTTTTAAATTTGGGAGTTAGAGTTTCGATTTCTCGGTTTTGAAATTTTAGATTTTTGAATTTTACATTTTTTCGGATGTTTCATTTTTCGATTTTCAGTTCTTCGATATTTCGATTTTTCAATGTTTCGGTTTTACGATTTTTTAAGGTTTCGATTTTTCTATTATCAGATTTTTCGATTTATATTCTTAGTTTAAGACGTTTTACTAGTACAAAACACAAAGAATTAATTCTTAGTTAAACAAAATATGTAAAATCATAAATATGTACCAAAAATATTCACTTAGTCGTTATAAAAACCGACCAAACAACTATTTCCCTCAGAAATTATAGTCTAAACCAATCAAATCGCTTCTGAACGCTTAGAGTCGACATTGGCCTGAGCGCCCTCTGGTCTGTAGATCAAACAAGTTCTCAGGCGACGAGGTGTAGTGAAACAAGTTTTTTTTATTGGCATTGACTATTTAAATTTGGCGCTTGTCTTTGGCGGTTGAAGACTCCAATGCCAATAAGGGTGGTTTTGCAAAATTACCGTCGTCCATGCCAACATAAAGGAAAATTTCGCGATTTCTGCAACCCGTTCGCAAATTCATAGAGATGTAAAATTAGTACTATTTTTAATTATACAAGGTGTTTTGTAATTACATGCACTAAAATAATAATTTATTTTCTCTTTTTTTAAGTTGAGAATCCATAGTTTTAAGACTCGAAAGTCTGCGATTTTACAGAAGAATAGTTGAAATAAATAATCAAGTGGTTACTTAAAAATTTAATGAATCAGAATCACCAAAACAAATTACTATAACAATTCAAATCATCCACCACACGACATACACAAGTGCAAAAGTAAGGCAATAATATAAGAATATAATGAATTTTCGTTTTCGTTTGGCTTGGGGTAAAGTGTGCATCGGATCTTTCAACAAATTAATCCTTGCATATATTGCACACTTTTCGAAAAAACTCCACCAATCTAAGTTCTCCATGTTGAACGGAAATAATTCTCGATCTTTTTCCTCCAAGGCTTTCCACAACGTTTCGCAATTAGTTGTTTCATATTTCCAAAAATTCACATTAAAGTACGCTAATTCGTCGCACATTCTGTGTACTTTTTGGTACATTTTGACGAATCTGAAAATGTTTAAGTGTGAAAAAGTTTGTACACAAAAACGCTCACCTTCGTTTTTTTCGAAGACACAAGCAAAGCAGATCCACTATATACGCTGGTACGAGATGAAGCCAGAACTGGAGGAACTTAAGATAGTACTTGTTTTTGGTAAAAATCAAGAGGCATGCATTGACGGCGTGTACACTGGGGTAGACTTTTGTTGATAGTTTCCCATACTCGTAGAGTTTACCTTTGGATTGTCACAAGTTTTGTGAAGCTGACTAATAAATGACACTTACTTTTCGTTAACAGATTTTTCTCAGAACCTGTGTAGTTGTAGATCGGTGGAGGGGAACTTTTCTCTGTTGCGTGGCACCCAGCCGCCAAAATAATATTTGCTGTGTAATCAGACGGTATCAGGTATATAGGTTTAGTGTCGGCTAGGTGGCAATGTATCAAACCTAGATACGTCCCTATAAGAAAAGCACTGATACCTTCAATTGCATCCAGCCAACCTGGTTCAGGTTCTTGGAAGGCGCCCATCACTGAAAACAATTCTCCTGTAACTTGAAAAAGTACAGTGATTTTTTTACTTACGAATCCCCGGCCTGACGATACAAATTGGCATATCTTGAGCTTCGGTTTTGATAACATTTTCGGCCACAGCTTTGGTGAATGTGTAGCTGTTGGGCCAAGAACCTAGAACTCTGCAAAAATTGAGTCAAACTTTGAAACACGTGTGGAATTTCTACTTACTCTGGAGTGATGTTTGTTACTGTTTCATCATCCACTGACTCCAGCATTTTCCAGAGCTCTGTGGCGGTCATTCCAGGCTCATAGAATTGTTCTTTTATTAAATCTTTTTGGTTACAGTTTGAGTAAGCTGTAGAAACGTGCACCATAGCCTAATGTAACAAAAAAGGAAATTAATGGAAATTACTTTGTGTAACGTTCCGGCCGTACCTTTAAGTCTGGAACTTCTTTAGCCAAATTGAGGAGATCCTGCACAGCACGAACATTAACATATCCAGCCAATCTTAAATGCTCGTTAAATTTTATAGTAGCTGCAATGTGAATAATACAAGTCGTTTCATTCACTAGAGTCTCTCTATCATCCTGTGATATTCCCAGTCCAGGTAAACCGCAGTCTCCTTTGATAGCAAAAATTTTCCCTTTGAATTCCGATTCATCCCGTCTCAAGTCCTACAAACATTTTTTTCTATTTAAAGAAAATTGCAAACTATTTGAGTGTTACAGCGCTGTCTAGGAGTGTCTCAAGTCTTTCCGCCACCGATTTTCCTTTGTGTTGTCTAATAAGAAGATAGATTTTCTTCGGATCACATGTGGTTAACAATTTCCGAAGAACGAGTTTTCCCAACAAGCCAGTACTCCCGGTTATAAAGACGGTTTGATTTTTGTAGAATTCCTGTACTTGGCTCAGAGTCATTTTTGTCGGTTTATTTTCTTTTCTTGAGTTAAACTTAACACTAAACACAAATGCGTACAAAAACACGATTGTCCATTGTGGCTGCATACATTATCATCTTATTAAGTTAGTTGTTATCTACAAAAATTGTTATTTATATGACGTATGTCTAGAGTTCTTAGATAAAACGGTGCTTAAAGCAGCATATATTACCCGTAATCAGAGGTGGTGACTGTAATAGCCGTGGCAAGAATAATAATAATAATTGAAAGTTACTAAGTGTAACAAACGATATATTGTAATATTTTTGTTGTGGTTTTTAGCTAACTTTGTCGTTAGAAAATCTACAAAATTTTTCGGCTTTTACACTGTTATGAAAGAAACCCATACGTGTCCCCGGTACGACGCCTATGGGTGTTAGTATGTGCGGCGATGATAAGTGACTCATCGTCGGTGACGGCGACCGGGCGGCGTTCACTAAAGAAAAGCCTGAAAGAGGAAGTCGCGATGCGTATTCCAGAAAGACCTCGATTGCGAAAAATCTAGAAGGGAAATATGAATTTAAATAGAGGCCACCTTCGGAACAAGTTAAGTTTAGTTAAATGAAGGAGTTAAACTTGAAGTTGATTCCGAAGAAATGCCTCCTCTTTCAAAAAGAAGTAGAATTTCTGGTACATACTATTTCGGTAAGCGGGATCAAGACTACGGGAACGAAGTTCAAGATCAAGAGATAAACACGAAGTCTGTAGTTTCCTGGGATTGTGCACTTACTACAGAAGGTTTGTCAACGGGTTTGCTGACATTGCTGCTCCTCTCACCGGCTGACGGATTTGAAGTCTCAGTTTAATTCGACTGAGAGAAAAGATTGAAGAACGCACTATGCTCAAGTCCTAGTTATATGTTTTTCTGTATAGTGACTTTTTTGTTGTGTTATTTGTTATAAGATTTATTTTTTACTTCAGAAGAAAAAAAAAATGAGGGAACGGGTGGGTGGGCGGGGCTAAGTTTATTTTTTCACTAGAGACTCTTATAGGCAAGCAACAGCCCCGCCCACCCTCACCCATTTTATTCCAGTTACTACTCTTAATATTGTTCAGTCTAATCGTTGCAAGTACTAGCCCCACCCACCCACCCTCTGTTTTCTTGAAGGTATGTGATTTGCCAAAATCAGTCGTATCTTAACAAGGACTAGCCCCGCCCACTCTCCTTTTTCTCATTCTAGCGACTAATTTTATGTCTGTATAAGATCCACGTTTCATTCAGAGCAGATAAAACTAATCACCGCAATGGAGACGGGTGGGTGGGCAGGGTTAGTTATATGTTCTTCTGTAAAGTGGGAAAGTAATGAATTCTAAGAGAGAACAGGGAAAAGAGAAAGTGGGGGTGCGGCATAGAAGGCAAGTTGAAGGGCACATAGAGAAGAATAGATAGGGAGAGCAAGGGACAAAAAGATAGAGTAAGTAGCACAAAGAAAGAAGTAATAAGAGAAGAAACAAAAAGAAGGGAAAAGAACCAGTGAAAGCGGAAAAGATGGCAACAGAAGGAGAAAGAGAGATAAAATTTAGAGAAAACAAGGCAGAAAGAGAAAATAATAGGGCGAAGAGAGGAGTAACAGGAGGAATTGGCAAATAGAGAGAAAGAAAGATGGAGAAAAACAGTGAAAAAAGAAAACTAAAGGAAAAATAACGAACAAACGCGGAAAAGACGATAGAAAGAGAGAAAGCTGAGATAATGTAAATAGAAAAGAGAGCAAAGAATGTGAAAGAGCTAGCCAGAAAATATAGAGAGGTGGGGCTATGGGAGAGACATTGACAAAACTGTACATAGAGAATGGTGAGAGGTATAGAATGAAAGGGGTAGAAAGGAACAGTAAGTAGGGACAAGAGAAGAGTAGAAGGAGGAGAAACAAAGAGAACGAAAAAACCAGGAAATGGGAATAGAAAGAAAAAATAAGAAGGGGGAAGTGAGGAGTAACAAGAAAATAACGAAGAACTGGCAAAGAGGGTGAAAAGGAGAATGGAAGAAAGCGGAAAGAAAGAGGACGGAAAACGGAAGTAACGGGAGTAAACACAGAGATTGGGCAGGAAGTGAAAAAGAACAGTGAATAAGAAAACAAAAGAGAAAAAAAAAACGGAAAAGAAGAGACAAAAGAGGGAGGTGAAGAAAAGAGAAAGCTGGGGGAGTATAGAGGGACAAATGAGGAAGGAAAGAGTGAGGGAAGAGGGGAAATAGTGGGGAGACAAATTGAGAGAACGCCACATATGCAAGCGTAACGACTTATATGAAGGCGCAAAAAGAAAGGGTTAAAGTAGGGAGAAGAGACGAGTAACAGGAGGAGAAACAAAGAGAAGGGAAAAAAACCTTAAAAGCGAGAAAAGATGGGAGGAAGATAGGGAAAGAGACGAGAAGAAGAGCGAGAGATGAAAGCTACAAAAGAAGGAACAGAAAGAGCAAATAAGAATGAGGCAGGAAGGACTAATAGGAGGAAACGCAAGAAGTATTGGCAAAGAGAGCGAAGGAATTAAAAAAAGGGGAAAACAGCAGTAGGTAACAGGGAAAAGCAGAACTGACACGAGAGAAGTGGATAAGAAAAGAGTGAAAAGAGAACAGACGAGAAAAGACGAAAATAGGGGATGAAAAGAGAGGAAGCCGGGGAAGAAGGAAAGAGGAGCAAAAGTGGGAAAGAAAGCCAGAAAATATAGAAAGAAAAAATTGAGACAACGGCACACAGCGAGGTATAGAGAGAAGGGATAGAAAGAGAGTAAATAAGGGGAAGAGAGAAGTAAAAAGAAGTATTGGCAAAGAGAGAGAATGAAAGAAAAGAACGAAAAATTAGAAAAAAAGAGACGAATCAGAAAAATGGGAAAAGAGGAATAACGGGGGAAAAGCACAACGGGCTCGAGAAAAGTGGACAAGAAAAGAGTGAAAAAAGAACAAAAAGAGAAAGAATAGAAAATCGTGATCCGAGAGCACAAAGACCCTACATTTTTGATCAACTTTTTCAAAATCTCAAAATTTCTAATCGTAACTTTTTTGTTGTACTATTATTTACTAAGTTTAACTTTTTTCTAAAATTTTTTATAGCCAAGCACCACCTTCACCCATTTCATTCCAGTTACTACTCTTAATATTGTTCAGTCTTATCGTTGCAAGTACTAGCCCCACCCACCCGCCCTCTTTGTTTTTTAGAGATATGTGACTTGCTAAAGTCAGTCTTATCCTAATTTTATTTCTGCATAAGATCCACTTTTCATTCAGAGCAGATAAACTTATATACCGAAATAGAGGCGGGTGGGTGGGCGGGGTTAGTTATTTGTTCTTCTGTATAGTGGGAGTGGTGACTTTTTTGTCGAATGTCAGTGAACGAGTTCTCATGTCTTTTACACCTGATTTAGACAGAACACTTGCCACAGACGCCAGATATTGACTTTCAGGTGTTTTATCACAACGTTTTCCAGACGGATCTGAAAGACCAGTTGCTTTTGCGTCCAGGTCGTTGACAAAAGCTGAACGTAGTTACAGTCAATTAGATAAAGAGGCGACAGCCATTTATTGGAGTTTCAAAAGATTTTTTCATTCTATTTATGGAAGGAAATTTATTCTAATTGTGGATAAAAATTTAAATCCTCAAAAACAACTTCCAGCTTTATCTGCAACCAGAATGTTAAGATATGCACAATTTTTATCCGGTTTCAATTATTCCATCGAATGTCGAAAATCCAGTGAACATGTAAATGTTGATTATTTCTCCAGAAGTCCATTGAAATTATCACCAAAAGAAGAAGAAAAAACTGATGATGAATTCGTGTTAAATACGATTTTAATTGATCAGATTAGTACAGAAACAGTCACGGCTCATGAAATTGAAAAATAATCAAGAACAGATCCAGAATTATGTAAAATGAAGAAAAAAATTCTAAATGGGACCAGAAGAGATCTAGAATATTTACAGGACATCGTGTGGTAATTCCAAAAACATTACAACACATTATTCTACAAGAACTTCATTCAACACACCTAGAAATGGTTAAAATGAAATATCTAGAAAGAAACTATTGCTAGTGGAAAGGCATCGATTCTGACATCGAAAATATGGTTAAAAGTTGTCAAGCTTGTTGAAAAGAATTGACAACGTGTACACATGGATTATGCAGTTCCATTTTCCAACCATCATTTTCTAATTCTTGTCGATGCCAAATCCAAATGGCCAGAAGTAATTATGGTTAAAAATTCTCCTACATCAGCAAGCACCATGTATCATTTACGAAAAATCTTTAGCCGGAATGGATTACCAGAAATATTAGTTAGTGACAATGCAACCATCTTCAAATCAAATGAATTTAGAGCATTTTGTGAACGGAATGGTATTAAACAACGGATGATTGCACCAGGATATCCAGCCACAAATGGTCAAGTAGAAAGATACTGTCAAACATTAACAACAAAATTTAAATGCATGATGAATGAACCCCGTTATCTTCTGGACAGACACCTTCTGAATTCTTTTTAGGAAGAAATGTACGAACCAAGTTAGATTTAATGAGACCAACTGAATCAACAAAAAAGAAAAACAAATCGAGTTTCGAGAAACATTTTCAAGTGGGCGATAGAGTTCAATCCAGAAATTATTCAAGACTGATACATATATTAATCAAGTTACAATGTTAAAAAACAAAAGACATTATTATTATTATGTTTATAATAATTTTCAATTATGACATTTCAATGAAATAAAGAATAATTAATATAATTAACACATGTAAAGATAACATAATAAATACAAACACCAATCGTATACCTTCCACCCCTCATTGGGAAACACGGTTAAATTATAAAATTAATAACATTAGAAAACAACTAGGTCAAATAACACAGTACCTTAGAGGAGTTAAAACACCACATATCATGACATGTATGCATTCGATACTAACCAACAATAATTTTCATCAAACTGACTACGATGAGTACAACACAACACTATCCCAAATTAAAGATACTCTATTACAAAAACTTTCCTTATATAGCAAACGACTTAAAAGATACAATCAGATCTCAGAAAAATTCATAACACTAAATTTTTAAACAACGAAAAACTATTCTATCAACATTTAACTAATTCAATTAAAAATCAATTATCCGGTGAACTTCCAAGTTCACAGGATGTAACAACACTTTGACTTTGGTCTCAAGAATTTGAATTTAACCAATCTGCCAAATGGATTCCTCATATATCCCATAAACTATTCACAGTTACACCAATGAATGATCATCAGATAACACTTGCCGAATTAATAAATACCATCAATAAGACACACAACTGGAAATCACCAGGACCTGACAAAATCCATGATTTTTGGATAAAAAAATTAAATTGTGTACATATTCATTTCCTACATCACTTAAATCAGTTCCTTCTTGACCCATCCTCCTTTCCAACATTCTAATGTCATGGTGTAACATACCTAAAACCTAAAGATAACGACACAAAAAATCCATCAAAATACAGACCTATCACATGTTTACCGACAATCTATAAAATATTAACCTCATGCATTACACAAAAAATCTATCAACACTGTTTTAACTCTGACATCATTAATGAAGAACAGAAAGGATGTATTAAAGGATCCTTTGGTTGCAAAGAGCAATTAATCATAGATTCCATCATCTGTGAACAAGCTAGAAAAGAAAACCGAAACATATATACTGCTTTCATTGATTATAAGAAAGCTTACGATTCTGTCCCTCATTCCTGGCTATGCAAAATTCTGGAATTATACAAAATTGATACTAAAATCTGCACTTTTCTCAAATTTTCCATTGAATTTTGGAAGACCACCCTCCAAATAACCTTAAATGAACAAACAATTCAGCCAGACCCAATAATGATCCGAAGAGGAATTTTTCAAGGCGATTCTCTTAGCCCGTTATGGTTCTGCTTAGCAATAAATCCCCTCTCCGATATCCTGAACAGCTGCAATTATGGGTTCAATATAAGAATTAACTAACAAAGAGAAAACAGAATAAGTCACTTGCTATATATGGATGACATAAAAATATATGCAAGTACACAAAATCAGTTAACAAACCTATTAAATCTGACTGAACAATTTTCCGGTGATATTGGTATGTCTTTTGGTATTGAGAAATGTAAGACCCAAGCAATCAGCAAAGGCGTCCAACATCAAGTACCACATATAACCCAGAATAACGAAATAATCGAAGCCCGAGAACGAAATGATACATACAAATATCTGGGTTTCTGTCAATCCTCCCACATCAATCATACCAAAACGAAAACACAGTTGAAAGATCAATACCTAGCGAGATTAAAATTAATATTGAAGACACAGTTAAATGGAAAAAAATTAATGAAAGCAGTGAATACATTCTGCGTTCCACTGCTAACATATTCTTTTGGAGTCATTAAATGGTCCAAAACTGATCTTGAAAATTTAAACATCGCAACAAGGAAAATCTTCACACAGTATAGAAGGCATCATCCAAAATCGTCGATTGAAAGATTCTCATTACCAAGACAGAATGGAGGAAGGGGTTTCCAGAACCTAGAAAACTTATATCAGAGACAAATCTCAGATTTGAAGAAGTATTTCCTGAAACGAGCGGAAAGAAATGAAATGTTTCGCACCATCACAAGAGCAGATTTGAACTACACACCCTTACATCTGTCGAACACCGAAGAAATCCACACCTCCCACACAATAGACAAAATAATAAGTGGGCTAAAACAAAAACAACTACATGGAAAATTCTACAAAGACTTAGAAGAAACTCATGTCAATAAGAAAATGTCATTGATTTGGTTAAAAAAATCAAGTTTGTATGCCGAAACAGAAGGATTTGTGTTTGCTATTCAAGACCAAGTAATCAATACCAAGAATTACAGAAAATACATCATCAAAGATCCGAACATAAGAAACGACTGCTGTCGCCTCTGCAAAGCAAAACCTGAAACGATCCAGCACATAATCTCTTCCTGTAGCATCCTAGCACAAACTGACTACAAAGCTAGACACGACAACGTCGCCAAAATCATCCACAAAGAATTAGCAACACTTATGAACTTAATCGAAGATACGACACCCTATTAGACTTACATTCCATCTCCGTTCCTTGAAAATAACAAATACAAATTATACTGAGATCGCACAATACTTACAGACGTAAACATTACAGCTAACAGACCAGACATCATACTTATCAAAAAACACACGAACGAAGCCATTCTCATTGACATTGCTGTTCCTAACACAAACAACATTATTCAAACATACCACACCAAGATTTCAAAATATCTACAATTATCGATAGAAATGAAATCCATGTTGAATCTTAAAAAAAATTCAATTCTACCCCTAGTTATCTCTAATGTAGGTGTAGTTCTAAATAGCTTAGTTGAGAATTTAAAATCTTTGCATTTGAATGATTCAATAATTATCAAAATTCAAAAAGCTGTTTTGTTAGGAACATGTCATATTGTTCGTAAGTTTCTTGAACAGTCTGATCATGTCAGTCAGATTAGATTAGCACCAGTAGGTCAGAGTAGTGTAGGTCACTTTCCAAGTGGTGCGCGGATAAATGGTCGGTAGTTACGCTAGACTTTTGGGGATGGGGTGAGATTAGAGAATAATAGCAGACTAATTTGTATGCTGTAATTCTAGAATCTCGAAAGTTGTTCTGTTAATTTAATCAATGCATATCATTACTTGGTCTTAGTACCCGTAATGATAGAAGTCTTGCCTGAATGCCGGTCATTTCCGGGTCAGTGGTGGGTCTTAATAATATAAAAAATATCTAAACTGTTAAGTACACAGGGACCATCAGAACTAGGGGGGGGGGCAGTGTTACGAAAGAAACCCATACGCCGACCCGGTACGACGGGTATGGGTTTTCTAGTATGTGCGGCGATGATGGGTGATTCCTCACCGGTGACGCGACCGGCAGGCGTTGTCTTAAAGGCAAGTCTGTAGCCGGTTACTGGAAGTCTCGATTGCGGAGTTCAGAAAAACCTAGAAGCGGCGTTCGCGATCCCTCCAGTTGCGTCGGAATTGTGAGCAGTCGTATAAATTCGTTCGAACTTAACATTATTATATAGTTATTATAATACACAAGTGGCAAGAACAAACGTATAATTTAATAAAATTTGCATAAATAAATAAATAATAAAAAAAAAACAGTTTGTACAATTCAAAATAAGCGCCACAGGACACACACCAGTACAAAAGCAATACAATAATAAAAGAATGCAATGAATTTTTGCTTTCGTTTGGCTTGAGGTAAAGTGTGCATCGGATCTTTCAAGAAATTAATCCTTGCATATATTACACATTTTCCGAAAAAATCCCACCACTCCAAGTTCTCCATGTTGAACGGAAACAACTCGCGATCTTTTTCCTCCAGGGCTTTCCACAACGTTTCGCAATTAGTCGTTTCATATTTCCAAAAATTCACATTAAAGTACCCTAGTGCGTCACACATTCTGTGTACTTTTTGGTACATTTTGACGAATCTGAAAATGTTTAGGTGTGAAAAAGTTTCTACACAAAAACGCTCACCTTCGGTTTTTTCCAAGAGACAAGCAAATCAGATCCACGATATACGCTGGTACGAGATGAAGCCAGAACTGGAGGAACTTAAGATAGTACTTGTTTTTGGTAAAAATCAAGAGGCATGCATTAACAGCGTGTACACTGGGGTAGAGTTTTGTTGATAGTTTCCCATACTCGTAGAGTTTACCTTTGGATTGTCACAAGTTTTGTGAAGCTGACTAATAAATGACACTTACTTTTCGTTAACAGATTTTTCTCAAAACCTGTGTAGTTGTAGATCGGAGGAGGGGAAGTTTTCTCTGTTGCGTAGCACGCAGCCGCCAAAATAATATTTGCTGTGTAATCAGATGGTATCAGGTATATAGGTTTAACATCGGCTAGGTGGCAATGTATCAAACCTAGATACGTCCCCATAAGAAAGGCAGTGATACCTTGAATTGCATCCAGCCAACCTGGTTCAGGTTCTTGGAAGGCGCCCATCACTGAAAACAATTCTCCTGTAACTTGAAAAACTAAAGTGATTTTTAACTTACGAATCGCCGGTCTGACGATACAAATTGGCATGTTTTGAGCTTCGGTTTTGACGACGTTTTCGGCTACAGCTTTAGTGAATGTGTAGCTGTTGGGCCAAGAACCTAGAACTCTGCAAAAATTGAGTCAAACTTTGAAATATGTGTGGAATTTCTACTTACTCTGGAGTGATGTTTGTTACTGTTTCATCATCCAGGCACCCCAGAATTTTCAAGAGCTTGGTGGCTGTCATCCCAGGCTCATAGAATTGTTCTTTTATTAAATCTTTTTGGTTACAGTTTGAGTAAGCTGTAGAAACGTGCACCATAGCCTAATTTAACAAAAAAAGAAATTAATGGAAATTGCTTGTGTAACGTTCCGGGCATACCTTTAAGTCACGAACTTGTTTAGCCAAATTAAGGAGATCCTGCACAGCGCGAACGTTAACATACGCAGCCAATCGTAAATGCTCGTTAAATTTTATAGTGGCTGCAATGTGAATAATGCAGGTCGTATCATTTATTAGAGTCTCTCTATCAAACTGTGATATTCCCAGTCCAGGTAAACCGCAGTCTCCTTTGATAACAAAAATTTTCCCTTTGAATTCCGATTGATCCCGTCTCAAGTCCTACAAACATTTTTTCTATTTAAAGAAAATTACAAACTATTTTAGTATTACAGCGCTCTCTAGGAGCATCTCAAGTCTTTCTTCCGGCGATTTTTCTTTGTGCTGTCTTATAAGGAGGTAGATTTTTTTTGGTTCACATGTCGTTAACAATTTCCGGAGAACAAGTTTTCCTAATAAGCCGGTGCTTCCGGTTATGAAGACCGTCTGGTTTTTGTAGAATTCCTGTATTTGGCTCGGAGTCATGGTTTAAAGTAGAACACGGTCGCTGGCTTCCTAACTGTTCAGTGTTTTTGGAGCACAGAGTGAAAGCTGATCTACTTCTACGGAAAAATTATATTTTATTAATGTGATGATAATTCTATCATTGTGTCTATGTAATATCTGAAGTTTAAATTACATTTTTTAGTTACTTGTGTTGTACTTATATTAAATTGTGAAACAAAATCGAGAAAATGAAAGTCAGAAAAATTGAAGTAACGAAAAATCAAAAAATCGAAAAATTAAATATTAAGAAACTGAAACATCGAAAAATAAAAAATTGTAGCATCCAAAAATTGCAAATCGGAAAACTGAATAAATTGAAAATGGAGTATGTTTTATTACGATTTCTAAAATTACGTCACGTACATTTAAAAATGGAAAATTCTGTGGATTTTTGAAAAAAAAATTTCCAATTTTTCGGCTTTTCGATTTGTCAATTTCTCGATTCTTCAAATTTTCGACTTCTCGATTTTTTCATTTTTCGATTTCTCAATTTTCCAATGTTTCAGTTTTCGATTTTTCAGTTTTTGACGTTTCTAAATTTTAGATTTCTTGATTTGTCAATTTTTTTTCGATTTTCAGTTATTTCGGAGTCTCGATTTTCAATTTTTTGATATTTTAGTGTTTAGTTTTTTCAATTTTTCCATTCATCAATTTCTCGATTAATCGATTTTTTGGTTTTTCGACTTTCCAATTTCTCGATTTTTTCACTTTTTTATTTCTCCGTTTTCCGATTTTTTATGTTTCAATTTCTAAATTTTTAAAACTTCGTTGTCACTAAATTTTCAATTTTTCGATTCCCCAATTTTTCGATTAATCAGTTGTTCAATTTTTCGATTTTTTAAATCTTCGATTTTTCGACTTCGGTTTCTCCGTTTTTCATTTTTCAATTTTTCGATGTTTCGGTTCGATATGTCATTTTTGGGATTTCTTAATATTCAATTCTTCAATTTTTCAATTTTATCTAAATCTCGCTTTTTTCGATTTATCAAGTTTTAAGGAAAAAAATGGAAACATTGAAAAATCGAACTTTTTAAAATTAAAGAAATCAAAAAATCGGATAATTGGAAATCAAAAATTGCAAAATTGAATAAACGAAAAATTATAAAATCGAAAGAGTCATTGAAATAATAAAGAAAATGAAAAAACGAAAAATTGTGAAATAAAATCGGGAAAATGAAAAATAAAAATTCAGAAACTGAAAAATCGAAAAATAAACAATTATAAAATCGAAAAATTGCAAATCGAAAAACTGAATAAATGGAAAATTGAAAATGGAGTATGTTTTATTACGATTTCTAAAATTACGTCACGTACATTTAAAAATGGAAAATTCTGTGGATTTGTGAAAAAAAAGTTCCAATTTTTCGGCTTTTCGATTTCTCAATTTTTCGATTTGTCAATTTCTCGATTCTTCAAATTTTCGACTTCTCGATTTTTTCATTTTTCGATTTCTCAATTTTCCAATGTTTCAGTTTTCGATTTTTCAGTTTTTGACGTTTCTAAATTCTAGATTTCTTGATTTGTCAATTTCTCGATTAATTGATATTTTGGTTTTTGAACTTTTCGATTCCCCAATATTTCGATTTTCACTTATTTCGGAGTCTCGATTTTCAATTTCTTGATATTTTAGTGTTTAGTTTTTTCATTCATCAATTTCTCGATTAATCGATTTTTTGGGTTTTCGACTTTCCAATTTCTCGATTTTTCACTTTTCTATTTCTCCGTTTTCCGATTTTTCATGTTTCAATTTCTAAATTTTTAAAACTTCGATGTCACTAAATTTTCAATTTTTCGATTCCCCAATTTTTCGATTAATCAGGTGTTCAATTTTTCGATTTTTTAAATCTTCGATTTTTCGACTTCGATTTCTCCGTTTTCCATTTTTCAATTTTTCGATGTTTCAGTTCGTTATTTCATTTTTGGGATTTTAATATTCAATTCTTCAATATTTCAATCTTATCTATATCTCGCTTTTTTCGATTTATCAAGTTTTAAGGAAAAAAATGGAAAAATTGAAAAATCGAACTTTTTAAAATTAAAGAAATCAAAAAACCGGATAATTGGAAATCCAAAAATTGCAAAATTGAATAAACGAAAAATTATAAAATCGAAAGAGTCATTGAAAAAAATAAAGAAAATGAAAAAACGAAAAATTGTGATATAAAATCGGGAAAATGAAAAATAAAAATTCAGAAACTGAAAAATCGAAAAATAAACAATTATAAAATCTAAAAATTGCAAATCTAAAAACTGAATAAATGGAAAATTGAAAATGGAGTATGTTTTATTACGATTTCTAAAATTACGTCACGTCCATTTAAAAATGGAAAATTCTGTGGATTTTTGAAAAAAAATTACAAATTTTTCGGCTTTTCGATTTCTCAATTGTTCGATTTGTCAATTTCTCGATTCTTCAAATTATCGACTTCTCGATTTTTTCATTTTTCGATTTCTCAATTTTCCAATGTTTCAGTTTTCGATTTTTCAGTTTTTGACGTTTCTAAATTTTAGATTTCTTGATTTGTCAATTTGTCGATTAATTGATATTTTGGTTTTTGAACTTTTCGATTCCCCAATTTTTCGATTTTCAGTTATTTCGGAGTCTCGATTATCAATTTTTTGATATTTTAGTGATTAGTTTTTTCAATTTTTCAATTTTTCCATTCATCAATTTCTCGATTAATCGATTTTTTGGTTTTTCGACTTTCCAATTTCTCGATTTTTCACTTTTCTATTTCTCCGTTTTCCGATTTTTCATGTTTCAATTTCTAAATTTTTAAAACTTCGATGTTACTAAATTTTCAATTTTTCGATTCCCCAATTTTTCGATTAATCAGTTGTTCAATCTTTCGATTTTTTAAATCTTCGATTTTTCGACTTCGATTTCTCCGTTTTCCATTTTTCAATTTTTCGATGTTTCAGTTCCATATTCCATTTTTGGGATTTCTTAATATTCAATTCTTCAATTTTTCAATTTTATCTATCTCTCGCTTTTTTCGATTTTTCAAGTTTTAAGGAAAAAAATGGAAAAATTGAAAATTCGAAGTTTTTAAAATTAAAGAAATCAAAAAATCGGATAATTGAGAATCCAAAAATTGCAAAATTGAATAAACGAAAAATTATAAAATCGAAAGAGTCATTGAAAAAAATAAAGAAAATCAAAAAACGAAAAATTGTGATATAAAATCGGGAAAATGAAAAATAAAAATTCAGAAACTGAAAAATCGAAAAATAAACAATTATAAAATCGAAAAATTGCAAATCGAAAAACTGAATAAAGGGAAAATTGAAAATGGAGTATGTTTTATTACGATTTCTAAAATTACGTCACGTACATTTAAAAATGGAAAATTCTGTGGATTTTTGAAAAAAAAAATTCAAATTTTTCGGCTTTTCGATTTCTCAATTGTTCGATTTGTCAATTTCTCGATTCTTCAAATTTTCGACTTCTCGATTTTTTCATTTTTCGATTTATCAATTTTCCAATGTTTCAGTTTTCGATTTTTCAGTTTTTGACGTTTCTAAATTTTAGATTTCTTGATTTGTCAATTTCTCGATTAATTGATATTTTGGTTTTTGAACTTTTCGATTCCCCAATTTTTCGATTTTGAGTTATATCGGAGTCTCGATTTTCAATTTTTTGATATTTTAGTGTTTAGTTTTTTCAATTTTTCAATTTTTTCATTCATCAATTTCTCGATTAATCGATTTTTTGGTTTTTCGACTTTCCAATTTCTCGATTTTTCACTTTTCTATTTCTCCGTTTTCCGATTTTTCATGTTTCAATTTCTAAATTTTTAAAACTTCGATGTTACTAAATTTTCAATTTTTCGATTCCCCAATTTTTCAATTAATCAGGTGTTCAATTTTTCGATTTTTTAAATCTTCGATTTTTCGACTTTGATTTCTCCGTTTTTCAATTTTTCAATTTTTCGATGTTTCAGTTCGATATTTCATTTTTGGGATTTTAATATTCAATTCTTCAATATTTCAATCTTATTTATATCTCGCTTTTTTCGATTTATCAAGTTTTAAGGAAAAAAATGGAAAAATTGAAAAATCGAACTTTTTAAAATTAAAGAAATCAAAAAATCGGACAATTGGAAATCCAAAAATTGCAAAATTGAATAAACGAAAAATTATAAAATCGGAAGGGTCATTGAAAAAAATAAAGAAAATGAAAAAACGATTTTTTCATTTTTAAATTGCTCGATTAATTGATTTTTTGGCTTTTCAACTTTTCGATTTTTCGTTTTTTCAGTTCATCGATTCTTCAATATTTCGGTTTTTAATTTTTCAGTTTCTCGATTTTCAATTTTTCGATTTCTCAATTTCTTGATTAATCAATTTTTTTGTTTTTTGACTTTTCGATTTCTCGATTTTTTCATTTTCCAATTTCTCAATTTTCCAGTGTTTCAGTTTTACGATTTTTAAAGTTTTTGATTTTTGTCAGTATTTAACGTTTCTAAATTTTAGATTTTTTGATTTTTCAATTTCTCGATTTTTTAGTTTTACGATGTTTCAAATTTTGATGATGCAAAGTTTTTTATTTTTCGATTTCTCAATATCTCGATTAATCAATTTTTTGGTTTTTCGACTTTTCGATTTCCCGATTTTTCAGTTCTTCAATACTAGAATTTTTCGAATTTTATATCTTCGATTTTTCGATTTTTTATATCTTCGACTTTTCGATTTCTCCATTTTTCAATTTTTTGATCTGAATAAACAAAAAATTATAAAATCGAAAGAGTCATTGAAAAAATAAAGAAAATGAGAAAACGAAAAATTGTTATATAAAATCCAGAAAATGAAGATCAGAACGTCGGAAAAATGACAAATAAAAATCAAGAACTTGAAAAATTGAGAAACTGAAAAATCGAAAAATTAAAAATTGTAATATCGAGAAATTGCAAAACGAAAAACTTTTATGTTTTATTGTTTTTTATTCTACTTATGTCCAAAAACATTCTTAAACAAAACAGTAATTATGAATAAAATTTGACCACTACCTTCAACGTAATCAATCACCGCATCTGCCGTCATCCACTAAACAATTCGTTTCCCTTTATACCAAACAAACACCACTAATAATTTAAATTCAAATTTACACGAACGTTTGGAAACATTTAAACTCGACTGATCTTGAACTCGACTTTGCTAGCTGACGCGTCTTTTACTGACCCGTTCTTCAACTAATTTAACAGTTTTGTTACGTTGTTTGTTTTTCCGTTCTAGCTTTTACGTCAGCTTCGTTCGACAGGGCAACGATCTATGTTAGTGTTCCGTAGTTACCTCGTGATAACCCAAAATTAAGTTTTTTTGTCTCAAGATTGAAAAGCGTGACCTATGATTTTTCATATAATTTGCAAAAATAAATACTTAATACTGCAGCACACCCAAAAGCCACCAACCAAATTAATTTAATAAATCAAGTTAAACATCACAGACCACAACATATACAAAAGTGCAAAAACAATACAATAATACAAAAATATGATCAATTTTCGTTTTCGTTTGGCTTGAGGTAACGTATCCATTGGATCTTTCAGGAAATAAACCCTTGCATATATTATACAATTTGCCAAAAAAGTCTTCCACTCCAAGTTCTCCATGTTGAACGGAAACAACTCACGATCTTTTTCTTTCAAGCCTTTCCACATAATTTCGCAATTAGTCGTGTCAAATTTCCACTTATTCACATTGAAGAACCCTATCACGTCACACGTTCTGTGTAATTTTTGATACATTTTAACAAATCTGCAAACAATTTTTTTGTAAAGAAAAGGAAAGTTTGTACAGAGGAAACTACCTTTGTTCTTTTCCGAGACACGAACAAATCAGGTCCACGAAAAACGCCGGCACTAGATGAAGCCAGAACTGGCAGAACTTAAGATAGTACGTGTTTGTGGTAAAGACCAAGAAGCACAGATTAACCATGTGCAAGCTGGGGTACAGTTCGCAACATAATTTCCCATATTCGTAGAGTTTACCTATGGAATAGTAAAAGTTTTATGAAGCAGAATAATAAACCACACTAACTTTTCCTTAAGAGATTTTTCTCAGAACCGGTGTAGTTGTAGATCGCTGGAGGGGAATTTTTGTCTGTTGAATAGCACGCTGCCGCCAAAATAATATTTACTGTGTAATCAGCTGGTATCAAATATATAGGGTCAGTATCTGATAGGTTGCAGTGTATCAAACCGAGGTACGTGCCTAAGAAAAAGGCAGTGTTACCCTGAATTGCGTCCAGCCAACCTGGTGCAGGTTCTTCGGATGCGCCCATCACTGAAAGAATTCTTTGATAACGTGTTTCTAGATTTATTTATTAACTTACGAATAGCCGGTCTGACGATACAAATTGGTAGATCTTGAGCTTCGGTTTTGACAACATTTTCGGCCACGGCTTTGGTGAATGTGTAGCTGTTGGGCCAGGAACCTAAAAGTCTGGAAAAATTGGGTCAATATTGTAACTTAGTGGCTTCTAAAGTACTTACTCTGAAGTTCTATTTGTTATTGTCTCATCATCCACTGAATCCAGCATTGTCAAGAGCTCTGTGGCTGTCATTCCAGGCTCATAGAATTGTTCTATTATTAAGTGTTTTTGGTTACAGTTTGAATAAGCTGTGGAAACGTGCACCATAGCCTAATGTAACAAAAAATTAATTAAATCAAATCAATTTATGAAAGTGTTATAAAATTATGCAAAAATCATCGACTACATTTTAATACCAGAAAATGTATAATATATACCGAAATACCTTTAAATCACGAACTTGTTTGGCCAAATTAAGGAGATCTTGAACAGCGCGAACATTAACATATGCAGCCATTCGTAAATGCTCGTTAAATTTTATAGTAGCTGCAATATGAATAATACAAGTCGTTTCATTCACTAAAATATCTCTATCATCCTGTGATATTCCCAGTCCCGGTAAACCGCAGTCTCCTTTGATCACAAAAATTTTCCCTTTGAATTCCGATTTATCCCGTCCCAAATCCTACAAACATTTTTTCTAATTAAAGAAAATTACAAAATATTTCAGTGTTACCGCCTTGTCTAGGAGTATCTCCAGTCGTTCCTCTACCGATTTTCCTTTGTGTTGTCTTATAAGAAGATAGATTTTCTTCGGATCACATGTGGTTAACAATTTCCGAAGAACGAGTTTCCCCAACAAGCCGGTGCTTCCGGTTATAAAGACCGTCTGGTTTTTGTAAAATTCCTGTATTTGGCTCAAAGTCATCTTGAAGCACCACTTCTCACTTTACAAAAATTTTCCAACATTCAAATTCAAAAGCGCGGACGTTTCACTTCACAGCCAGGAAATCTGAAACCGACTGATTCTAAAAATTCATTTTTCGACTAAAATCATCTTATTTCTAACCAGTTTTTTGGTGAATGTTTCAATTTTTGCAAGTTTTTGTCGGCCTAAGTTCTGGGTCAGACTTTATTCGGTGAGGCAGTGGTCTATTTTGGTGTCCCCGTTGCGTTTTTTGGCATTAGAAATTGTCCAAAATTTTACGCTTCTGTAAAATTAATTACCGTTTTTTTCAAAATTTAGTATCTTCGTGGCATTCTTAAAAATGAACGGATGCAGAGTTGAAGATATATTTAGAGCAGGCGGTGAAAATAGAATGGTTTATGTCTTTTTTACAGTGTGAAAAAATTGGTCTAAAGAGTAAATTTTCGGGAAAAGGAATTAGGTCGTCTTGAATATTGATTTATAATCAATAAAATAACGAAAAGTTTACTCACGTATGCCGTGTAAGCGGTAACACTTGTTGAGATTGTACACGTGAGAGTCAAACAATACCGATGGTCGCCCAGACTTTTTTATTGCTTCGGCTTCCGCTTATTATATAAAACATTGGATTTTATTTTAATTTTTGATGGAGTAATTCACAATTTTCAAAGCATTCGGTTTTTGCAGATTCCATTTAAACTGCAAAATCTTGTTTCATAATTTTGATTTTTTTTCAAAAAATCTGGACGTTTCGTGTGTAAAAGTGTGGATTTTCTGAAGTGCACATTCTGTGTGCTTAATCGTAATAATAATAATAATAATAAATTTTCTTGAGGTATTTAACCCAATTACAGAAAACATAAAAGAACAAGTGTTTACAATATAAAAAGGGACAACGAGAACGACGGGAATTACTAACTACTAATCTTTCACCTTAGTAACGAACTAAAACTTTTCTGAAATCCTAGCTTTGTCCATATTGCTTTCGTTTATAGAAAATCTTTTTATTTGGTTCATTTGAAGGCCTACTTCAAAAATATTCGGTCTCAAATTCGAATTTTTCAAAAATTCTAAAATCCGTAATTTTCGAAATTGGTCAAAAATTTCATATTGGAAAACGGAGCTTTTGAAAAAGTTGACTAAAAATCCATACTCGGTCTTAAATTCGATTTTTTAAAATTCTAAAAATTTGCGCATTTCATTTGGCGATTCTTTCAAAGTCATACGATTTTTTAAAGAATTGAAGCGAAAATTACTTCTGGAGTTCGAAAACTACAAACAAATCCGTTCAGGTATTTTTCGAAAATCGTCAAAAGACGGTTCAGAATTTCAGGGGAGCATTGAAAAATCGGCATTTTGGAAAAGTTGACTAAAAATCAACGAAAAATTCTGGTTATACAACGCTATGTACTGATTCAAAAAATATAGCATATTTGTAGTTCCGGACCAAGATTTTCGAAATATTCGGTCTCAAAATCGAATTTTTCTGGACTTCTAAAAATTATCGGTGTTTCATTTGGCCATTCTGGAAAAATGATACGAATTTTTGTACGACTGAAACCGAAAAGCGCTTCTAGAGGTCGGAATCCACAACAAATTCCGGTGTGTGATGGTCAAAAAATGACCAAAATTTCATATTGAAAAATCGAAATTTTGGAAAAGTTGACTAAAAATCCATGAAAAATTCTGGGATATAGATTTTGACGTACTGATTATTATTAAACCAAAAATTTCGAGGTACTCGGTCTTAAATTCGATTTTTTTAAATTCTAAAAATTTGCGTATTTCATTTGGCGATGCTTTAAAAGTCGTACGATTTTTTAAAGAACTGAAGCCAAAGTTACTTCTAGAGTTGGGAAACTACAAACAAATCCGTTCAGATATTTTTCGAAAATCGTCAAAAGACGATTCAAAAAGAGTTGTTTTGATAGTAAGATATTACCAAGTTAAAGGTCAGCTATCTGTCAACCCGACTGCATTTAAGATAGTAATGATGCGGCTTATCTTTTATTAAAAAAAAAAAAACATTAACAACAATAATATTAATAACATGTATAATAAATAATAAATCAACACTATAACACACATACACAAAAAAGTAAGTAAAACAAAATTATCAAATCATTCATATCAGACACCACAGAACAAATACGAGTACAAAAGCAATACAACAATACAAGAATAGTATCAATTTTTGTTTTCGTTTGGCTTGAGGTAAAGTGTCCATCGGATCCTTCAGCAAATGGGTCCTCCCGTATATTGTGCAACTTCTAAGATAACTCTTCCACTGAAACTCCTCCATGTCGAACGGAAACAACTCCCGATCTTTTTCTTTCACCGCTTTCCACATAATCTCGCAGTTACTCGTTTCATATTTCCACAAATTCACGTTGAAAAACCCAACTAGGTCACAAATCCTGTGTAACTTTTGATACATTTTAACAAACCTGAAAATGCTTAGTGTAAAGAAGTTTGTACACGAAAATACGCACCTTCGTTGTTTCCCTAGACACAAACAAATCAGATCCACGATATACGCCGGTACGAGATGAACCCAGAACTGGAGGAACTTGAAATAGTACCTGTTTTCAGTGAAGATCATGAAGTACAAATTAACAGCGTGCACGCTGGGATACAACTGGGTGAATAATTTCGCGTAATAGTGGAGCCTGCCTTTGAATTATCAAAAGTTGAAAGATGAAGCTCAAAATTAAACGAAACTTACCTCCTGTCATTAAATTGTTGTTACAACCTATGTAGTTATAGATGGATGTGGGCGAGCTTTTGGAAGCTGAGTACCACGCTGCTGTCAAAATAATATTTGCTGCGTAATCTGATGGTATCAAGGAGGTAGTACCAGGGTGCGCTAGGTTGCAATGTATCAAACCTAAATACGCGCCTATAAAAAAGGCGGTGTTACCCTGAATTGCATCCAGCCAACCTGGTTCGGGTTCTTGGCATGTGCCCATCACTGAAAACAATGAATGTAACTTCTTTCTTGTTTTATTTGTTTAATCAAAAACTTACAAATACCCGGTCTAACTACAGAAATTGGCAAATTTTGAGCTTCGGTTTTGATCACATTTTCGGCCACAGCTTTCGTGAATGTGTAACTATTGGGCCAAGAACCGAGAAGTCTGGAAAAATTGCGTCAAATTTTGAAATACGTGTGGTACTGATTTTTTTTGTGGATTTTGTACTCACTCTGGAGTGGTGTTCGTTATCGTTTCATCATCCGCTGACTCCAGCATTTTCCAGAGCTCTGTGGCGGTCATTCCAGGCTCATAGAATTGTTCTTTTATTAAATCTTTTTGGTTACAGTTTGAGTAAGCTGTGGAAACGTGCACCATAGCCTAATTAAAAAAAAATTAAATAACTGTATAAGTATTATAAACGCATGAATTGCTGACCAGTGGCGGCTCCTCAGAGGAGGCAGGGGAGGCTGAGCCTCCTCTATTTTTTGGAGCTGAGCTTCCTCTATTTTTTTTCGATGAAAGAATTTATATTTTTTTAGACATTTGGTTTTTTTCAGAATATTTTGTTTGATTTCATTTACTTTCATCATATATCAGGTTAAAATGTCGAAAAAATTTATATTTGCGCCCTCACAATCATAATTCACACCACTCCGCGTTTGACTTCAGCGGCAGAGGCTTGCTAGCCGCTAGCCTCCGCCGAGAATGCATCTTGCTATTGAGACCGTAGACCTTGACGCATCGTCAGTCTGTATTGCATTGGCTAAAACGTTGATCGGACTGCCGCTCCAAGCCGCTAGCCTCCGGCTAGTTCATCTCTTTTCAGATCAAGTCGTACAGATAACTTTATCTCTTTCTTATTAGTTGGCGCAATCGGGTGTAAGTAGGAAAAACATTGAGGTGGTTTCGCGAGCTCCCTGTTCAGTGGTGGTGGTGTTTAGGCTTTACGTAGGTAAGGGTACAAAAGGGGAGGCCAACACCATCACTCCCATTAATGGTACTGACAGTTACAATTAGAAACAAAACAGAGCATTTCATGAAAATAATTATAATAAAACTAAATAGTTAACGGCTTCGGTTTTAAGAAACAAATTATACTGTTGGAATTGTGTATTATTTATAAGTGATAAATCTTCCGTTTGAGGTAAAACAGGCTATAATAATTTACAAAATTTGTCACGAGCTATAGAAAGGCACGAAAAATCACAGGAACACATATTTTCTTCGATTAAATTAGAAATGCTTGGTAAGCAAAACATTGCCAATAATTTAGATTAAGACTAATCGATGCAATATAATTTATCTGTCAACGCAAGAGTGTTCTTTTCGTGGGCATGACGAAAAAAAAAATTCAGATAATAAAAGATATAAAAAGTAGTGCTTTTCAAATTTGAGCCTCCTCTGAAGAAAACTTCACGAGCCGCCACTGTTGCTGACTTCATTTCAATATCAGAAAGTGAGTAAAATTTTCCATGCATACCTTCAGGTCACGAACTTGTTTTGCCAGATGAAGGAGATCCTGCACAGCGCGAACGTTGACGTAGGCAGCCAGTCGTAAATGCTCGTTAAATTTTACAACAGCTGCAATGTGTATAATACAAGTGGTTTCATTCACTAGAGTCTCTCTATCAACGTGCGATATTCCCAATCCAGGTAAACCGCAGTCTCCCTCGATAACAAAAATTTTCCCTTTGAATTCCGATTTATCCCGTCTCAAGTCCTGCAAACATTTTTTCTATTTAAAGAAAATTACAAACTATTTCAGTCTTACAGCGCTCTCTAAGAGTGTCTCGAGTCTTTCCTCCACCGATTTTCCTTTGTGTTGTCTTATAAGAAGGTAGATTTTTCTCGGTTCACATGTGGTTAACAATTTCCGGAGAACAAGTTTTCCTAACAAGCCGGTGCTTCCGGTTATGAAGACTGTCTGGTTTTTGTAAAATTCCTGTATTTGACTCATGTTTATGGCTTTAAGTCTGTTCAGTGTTTTAGGGGTGCAAAGTTTCTTGCATGTTTCTGGGACTAACCTTAAAAAAACGGTTACATTGCGAGCGCAGTTCAGGTTTGATTAAAAAAATTAGACCAAATTTATGGAATTTTCAGGAAGATGGGGTGAACCATTCTCGATTTGATCACTAAAATACACCACTTACCACTTTCACAAAAATTTTGACACAATCCCTCTGAACAATTTAAATTCAAGTGCACACGTACGCTTCGTTTTACAGCAAAAAAATTTCAGGTTGAACGGACTTAAAAATTAACTTTTTTTGCAAACGCGTCATTCATCTTCGCACTTCTGCAGGCAAATGTTGTTTTGCCGTTCGCAGAAGGTCACACTTGAGCTGGGGGGGCGATGGTCTCTTTTACCGTTTCCGTTGTGTTTTCAGATAGTTTTCTCATTAGAAATTCCCAAAATTTTCCGCTTCTTCACATTTGGTAGGTGTGGCGGAAATAATTACTGTAAGACGTCGATGCGTATAGTAAAAATGTATTGAAAGATTCTAAATCATGAGCGGGACATTTTTGGAGTCTTATTTTTTCTCATAAACCCGAAATGTAGTTGTCAAAGAGCGTCTGAATTGTTTCAGTTTTCAGGTATAAATCAGTCGAAATGAAATAAAATTGATTAAAAATGCACTTTTAAAAATCTAAGCGTGGTAGCTGTAGATTTGGGTTCCAATATGACACAAACAGTGGAAAATTTTCCTTTCAGTGACTGCTTTTCTTGAACGACCTCAATTTATCCAACAATCGGATAGAAATATTAAATCCACGCGCAATGATAAATATGTTAGGACTAAACCATGTGTTACCGAATAAACCTATAGCCCCGGTGTGAAGTTGCGCCAGATTTATTTTGTACATAATCGCTGTGTATATTATAATTGATATGAAATTAAATCCTAAGCACCCCAGAAACCAAGATCACCTATAATCGCTGTGTAATCAGTCGTGTAAATTTGAGTTATTAAGAAATAAATTGTTGAGTTTAACCCACACCGAATCTTGTCGGACGAAATATGATCTCAACGGATTGCATTGCCACTTTGCTACTTCATTTATTAGATCAGAATTATTAGACGCAATTTTTTAATCAAGCAAACAAATGTTTTAATTTTGTCAGCGTATAGATCTCCTTTCATTATTTCGCTAGGTGAATCTGATTCAGAATCTGAATTTGAAAATGACGGTGATGATTAGAGAGCGGATTTATAAGCACAAAAAAATTAAGAATAAGCGCTTAAATATGCACAACATTTTCAATAAAAAAGTTTTATTTTAAGCAAAAAACATTAAAAACAATCATATTACAAACCAAAGAACACTACTTAGAACTTTGGATAAAATATTATTACAATAATCCTAGACTTTATATTTTACACACGTATTTCAGTTTTCTTTAAAACAATTTATGATTGTAATATGTTCCAAGTTGTCCACTGTAAAATTTTTTCGCGGATCATTTAAAATGTGTTTAAAATTGGAGAATGTGCGTTCAACATCCACACTCGTTGTTGGCGCAAATTTAAATTTTGCAACTAATGTTGAATCTAACTCCAAATTTTCCACCTTCTGGCCTTGTAAAACACGAGCAACGTCGGAAAGAATACCGAAACCTGTATTTTTATTTAACACTTCGTCAAGTTTTTGAGATACTCTAGTACCAATATCACCCCTTACTGCGTTTGCTTGTTGTTTAAATTCTTTCACTAAGTTTATAGCATCTACCAACAACATGTTGGGTTTTTCTAACTTTTCTATTACCTCACATACGAATTGATAATTGTTTCGTAGAAAAGTTAGATCTTGTCGCAAATCTTTGTTTTCCAAAATATTTATGCAATCTTTAATCGATTGAGAAGAATCTTCGCTAAATTCCGTAACAACTTCCTCAAATTCTTTGATATATTTGTCATAATAAAATGTGGCCTGTAACCATGTTCCCCACTTCGTTATAATCGGCTCTGGGGGCAATGGTATGTTTGGAAATTTTTCCTTAAAATGTTGCACTCTTAGTGGGGCTTTAACAAAAATCTTTTTACCATTTGCCACTAATTTATTAACAGTTTCAAACTGCAAACGTATTCCTTCAGCCACTGTTTATACCGTGGGCAATGCAAGTAGAGTGAATTAAATTGGGGTACAATATTTTTAGATTATTCCTTGGTTTCAACATATAACGAGCTACATCCGAGATCATCAATAAAATTTTATTGGCAAAAATAGTGACGTAAGACTGTCATTTACAAATCTGGTAACCGTATTGCCATTTGTTGTATCTAACATTTTCAAACTTACTACATACCCTCGACTAGGGAAATTTTCATTTAAGATTCCAACAATTAAACTTGCCACGTATCTTCCACAACTATCGGTTGTTTCATCGACAGCGAACCATAAATAATTATCTCCAATGCGATGTTTAATTTCGTTGTAAACTTGCTGAAACACTGGGCCTACATAATTTTTTCGGAGAGTACTTTCAACCGGAATATGTCGATTGCAGTGTTTCTAAAGGAATTCTTGAAGAGGGCCTTTCTCCAATTTTTTTAAAGGTATATTGGACTGGATCATCATTTTACATATATCCAAATTAAACTGAAACTGCTCATCTTTTGTGGAAGTAGATCCAACAGATTCATGTATGGTCTGCTGTTTAATTTTAGAAATTTCAAACATTTTCTTCCTTTCTACATGAAGAGTCGTTCTGACATGTTGCGTCACGTTATATTTTTTATTACTTTGAATCTAAAACAACGTACATATACAGGATTAACAAAGGAAAATAGATAAAAAAAAATAGTGGGCTTACGGTTTTCACACAAGCTCTGCAGAATATTTTGTTGTTTTCTAATTTTAATTCTGGAAAATCCCTTATCCACTCATCCGGCGTCGATTTTACTTTCGGCGTTCTTTTAAAATATTAGTAATATTACCAAAAAGAACTCAACATGTAACAAGAGAGAACCACGTATAACACTGTACTACGACAGATGCGATAGACTGATGGTTGTGAAATAAACGGTTCATTTACTTAAAAGTTTCCATTAGAAAAATTTTAAGGTAGGTAGTTCGGTACAATAATCCTTTTTTCTAGAAAATCTTGTACGGTCTTGCCGCAAACTGCCGAAAAAGAACATCTGGTTAAAAGCTTTAATTCATTATCAACGGAAGTAAGGATTTAAAGTCATAAAATCTATGGAGTATTTTTCCAATCCTATAATAAAATTTTATTACCCAAACGACCGGAACCTATTCACAGAAAGGGTCTTGAGTAAGTGTACTTCAATGGTCAAGTCCAGGTAAAATGCATACGATACGATACGCCTAACTAACAAGTATTTGTCATCCCGACAAGGCCGGCATTTGAACAAAATATGCCTTAAAACTCATATTTGTCGAAAAAAGCATTAAATAAGCATATAAGTTTTAATATGCATAAAATTGAAATAAAAGCAAATAAGCATAAAAAAAAAAATTATCAAAGGACTCCAAATTGTATCATAGTTACAGAGATAAAAAAGTTTTGAAGTGCTTACATTTTTCACAAAAAGCATTAAACCTAGAAATCCGCTCTCTAGCTGATGATACAGATTTTCATAGCGAAATAATGGAAATGGAGTGAATTGTAACTTGTCGTAAGTTTAACAAAATAAGTATAATTTTAGTTAGATCATCCACGTTGTTACTTTGCACCAAATTTTAAGCATTTTCATTTTTTTTGTAACTCTTCATGGACCTGGAGAAGGCGACTAGTAACGTTCTTATTAATAAGCGTTTGGAAGTACTTAGTAAAAGCAAGTAAAGAGCACTTACGCAAGCATAAGTTTTCGGAAGAGAACTTCGTCTGCCTTGTGGTATCTTGTTCGGCTCTCCGGGTGAAGAACCAAAGGAGGCCATAGATTACGTCGATTCCAGAGATGGGATTTGGTATGGTTCTATAATCTCCGAAGAAAAACCAGACTGGGACGGTCCATATAGTGTCGTGACGAGAATCAACGATGTCGTTTACAGAATTCGAAGATGAAAATGAAGATTGGTCATTTAAACCGCCTCATACAACAGTGACACCGTTGACGTTTCTGATCGGGACTTATTAATTTACGATTTAATATTTGGCGAATTCTAATCCACGAAAACTTTTATTGTAGTTGTTTAAGACACATGATTTTGTCAAGATTTTTTAATCGTAGTCTGTTGGTCTTAATTTAACTTAATTGAATTTAACTAGTTTCTTCTTACAACCCGTTATAAGTGTATATCGGGGTAAGAGAACTTGTTTTTGTTATTGTTTGATCATCCACTGACTCCAACATTTTCAAGAAACTCTGTGGCTGTCATTCCAAGACTGTTCTGTGTTACAGTTTGACTAAACTATGAAAACGTGCACCATAACCTAATGCAAAAAAATTAATGTATTGAAATTATATACATTGTTTAAGTATTCTGAAATTATGCAAAATTTGTTTACTACGTGTTTACTAGAAAGATATAATACTTTCCACGCATACCTCAGTTACAAACTCGTTTTGCCAAATGAGGTGATCCTGCAAAGCGCGAACATTAACGTATGCAACCACTTCTAAATGCTCGCAAAATTTTATAGTAACTGCGATATGTATAATACAAGTGGTTTCATTTACAAGAATGTCTCTATCATCCGGTGATATTCCTAGTTAAGATAAACCATAGTCCCCTTCGATAACAAAAATTTCTCTACCGATTTTCCTTTGTTTTGTCTTATAATAGATTTTCATCGGAACCCACATGGTTAATAATAATTTCTGTAGAACAAGTTTCCCCAACAAGCCAATCGTTTCACTTATAAAGATTGTCTGGTTTTTATAAAAGTCTGTATTTGGCTTAGGGTCATGTTAATTGTTTTGAAGTAGAACGCCGTTATGTTGCTCTTGACCGTTCAGCGCAGTGTCGGATTGTGCCGCGGAAATAGCCAATCTACTTTTTTTTATACAATTATGTAAATTTTTCACACATGTAGGATGTTAGAATTACAAATTTAATGCAATAAATATTCCTAAAAATATAACAGACACATAAAAAACGATTTATGTTTAAATATTAAATAAGAGCATATTTTTAATAATTTTTTTTTCTTCATTTTATTACTAGAAATTTACCAAAATATTCCGCCGCTACACCTGAAAATTTTATACCCTACTGTAGTAACTTCAGAAACGAACAAACTTACCACGACGTGCACTTACGTAAAATGCATGAATTAGCATCCTATTATATTAGTTGTTTTTTGAAAAAACTATATTTGCATTTGATTATTGTTTCTACGTAACATTTCAAGGC